ACTGCGGGGATTCATATTCTTGGTTCTTTCGGTAAAGTCACGTAGAAGGGCTTTACCGAAAGAACTAAGAATATAAGATTAAACAAAAAGGTTGCACTTTGAAGAAGACGACCCATTGATGCAGGCAGTGATGGGAAGGAAACTATTTGGACACGTGTGTAAGATGGACTACAACAGGAAAATGTTGTTGTTGTTGTTCGGAAAAAAATGTAAGGAGCAGGAAAGCGAGGAAGACCTCACAGAGAACGTCTTGAAGACGACATCGTAAGAGATTGGTGCCAGAAAAGATGCGGAAAGTACTTGAGCGTATCGCTACGAGGCTGAGCAAAGTGGAAACAAATGAGGAAAAGTGCAGTGGACACCCACGGGCTATTTGCCCATGGATCGTGGTGGTGGTAATGATGGTGATGATGATGATGGGTACATTATTCATGCCGATATCTAAGAGCAGGGAAATCAAAGCAGGCGACTCTGGGAGCCCCACCGATTGCAGAACTCACGGCGAGAGTCGTTTACTCACGACGCTCTTTCACTCGTTCACCCAATTCATCGCTCACTCACTCTCCCGCCCACCAACTTGCTTGCTCACTCACTCACTCGTTCACCCACTTCATCGCTCACTCACTCGCCCGTCCACCAACTCGCTCGCTCACTCACTCACTCGTTCACCCACTTCATCGCTCACTCACTCGCCCGCCCACCAACTCGCTCACTCACTCACTCGTTCACCCACTTCATCGCTCACTCACTCGCCCGCCCACCAACTCGCTCGCTCACTCACTCCTTCACCCACTTCATCGCTCACTCACTCGCCCGTCCACCAACTCGCTCGCTCACTCACTCACTCGTTCACCCACTTCATCGCTCACTCACTCGCCCGCCCACCAACTCGCTCGCTCACTCACTCACTCGTTCACCCACTTGATCGCTCACTCACTCACCCGCCCACCAACTTGCTCGCTCACTCACTCACTCGTTCACCCACTTCATCGCTCACTCACTCGCCCGTCCACCAACTCGCTCGCTCACTCACTCACTCGTTCACCCACTTCATCGCTCACTCACTCGCCCGCCCACCAACTCGCTCACTCACTCACTCGTTCACCCACTTCATCGCTCACTCACTCGCCCGCCCATCAACTCGCTCGCTCACTCACTCCTTCACCCACTTCATCGCTCACTCACTCGCCCGTCCACCAACTCGCTCGCTCGCTCACTCACTCACTCGTTCACCCACTTCATCGCTCACTCACTCGCCCGCCCGCCCACCAACTCGCTCGCTCACTCACTCACTCGTTCACCCACTTGATTGCTCACTCACTCACCCGCCCACCAACTCGCTCGCTCGCTCACTCACTCCTTCACCCACTTCATCGCTCACTCACTCGCCCGCCCGCCCGCCAACTCGCTCGCTCACTCACTCGTTCGGTCGTTCACTCACTCGTTCATCAACTCTCTCGCTCCCTCGCTCGTTCACTCGCTCACTCGCTCCCTTGCTCGGCCACTCGCTCGCTCGTTCACTCACTCGTTCACTCACTCGCTCGCTCACTCGCTGCCTTGCTCGTCCACTCGCTAACTCGCTCACTCACTGGCTCGCCCGATCACTCGCTCGCTCACTCGCTGCCTCGCTCGTTCACTCGCTCGCTCGCTCAATTACTCGCTCGCTCGCTCACTCGCTGCCTTGCTCGTCCACTCGCTAACTCGCTCACTAACTCGCTCGCTCAATCACTCGCTCAATCACTCGCTCGCTCACTCGCTGCCATGCTCGGCCACTCACTCGCTCGTTCACTCGCTCGTTCGCTAACTCGCTCGCTCACTCGCTCGCTCACATGCGGCGCAGCTGTTCCCGATTTCACCTCATTACTCCCGTCGGCTCGTCCCTGCGGGTGGAAAGCACACCGCCTAAATATTTCATTTCGTTTCGTATTTCCATCGACATTTTTTTTATTCTCACCGCACCGGGCGGTGCGTGCCGCGCGGTGGTGCGGGGGGGAGGGTGTAGGGGTCGTTCGGCACCCGAGTTCGATACCCGGCGGGGGCTGACTCACATGGGCGCAGGAATCGAATCTGTAAATGACGGGGGAAACCATATCCCGTCGCAGCAGAATGTGTTCGTAATGGTGACCCAAGACCATAGAACACCACAACGCAGTAGTTCAGGGACTGCTGGTGTATGTGTGTGGGGAGCGAGGTGCTCGCTAACAGCACTTGCCCCTACAGTCTGTTAAGGCTATATGGGGGATCTTTATCTTTGTGGGGAGCGATAGTGTAGCGGTTAGCGCGCTGCGCTATGAACCTGGCGACCCGGGTTCGATTCCCGCTCACGGCCAACACCAGTGACGATTATATGAACCAGTCTTGGGCCTCCCCTAGGTCGACTCAGCCTGAAATGAGTACCTGGTGCGGTGTGTAAACATCGCCACTGGAGTGACAAAGGCGGTCGGGCGTGGTGCTGGCCACCCACCCCCTTGTGTACCCTTTCAGCCTTCATAGGTGCTCGCCAACAGCACTTGCCCCCACAGTCTGGTAAGGCTATACGGGGGATCTTTGTCTTGTCTTGTGTTGAACTTCTTTCACACCGCACGTAGCCAACCAACTGCGCTAATCGGAGGCGCGGGGGAAGGACAACAAACTAAACACACGATATTATTATTTTTCCCGCACACAGCGCAAACGTGCCGCGTCGCTTCACTGCACGCCCCTCCGTGTTGCTCTGCGCGTTGCTGTTGCGTCTTGTTGCCAACCTCATCGGCGGAGGAGCCAGAGCCTTGTAGATTTGAAGCTTTCATGACTGCAAGGATTCATATTCTTAGGTTTTTTCGGTAAAGTCACGTAGGTAAACATTTTTTTAATTTATAAAAGTGAAATTAAAGAAAAAATAAAAATAAAATTTTTATTTTACTTTTATTCATTTAACATTTTTTTGTACCTACGTGACTTTACCGAAAAAACCTAAAAATATGAAGCCAGAACCTTGCCCGACGATTTGATCGCCGGTCCGATTTAACTCGGCTGGAGATGAAACGGCAGCGGTGTGGGGGGGGGGGGTGTGGGGAAGAGCCTCGGCCTCTGGCTCTCACGTGTGCCGCTGGACGGGTGGTGACGGGCATGGGTGCGGTGACGTCATCGGCATCATCAGCCGCGTCACGTCGGGTGTGGATCGACAGCGGATGGGGTTTCTTGACATCGGGAGGCGGGGTGTCGGGGGGGGGGGTGACCTCCGTTTTTATTTTTTACGGGGGGGGGGGGGTGCTGAGAAATTGACTCATTCGTTGCATCCGTCCCAAATCGACGCGTCAGTTTCATTCCTTCCATTCGCTCATTCGCGATTGACCAAAATCCACTCATCCATTCGGCCCATCCTGTCCATTCGCGATTGAACGGAATGGAACGGATGAAGGAACAAACGAGTGAGCGACCATGTCCGTGGTGCTGCACGCAGAGAAGCCGTGCATGGACAACATCCACGTGACCAAATCGACCCATCCGGTTCCATTCAACCCACCTAGTTCCATTCGACCCATTGCTTCCATTCGGCCGATCGGGTTCTATTCGACCCATCCAGTCCATTCGACCCATCCGGTTCTATTCAACCCATCCGGTTCCATTCGACCCATCCGGTTCCATTCGACCCATCTAGTTCCATTCGACCCATACCTTCCATTCGTCCCATCCGGTTGCATTCGACCCATCCGGTTGCATTCGACCCATCTTGTTCTATTCAACCCATCTGGTTCCATTCAACCCATCCGGTTCCATTCGACCCATACCTTCCATTCGACCCATCCTGTTGCATTCGACCCATCTTGTTCTATTCAACCCATCTGGTTCCATTCGACCCATCCGGTTCCATTCGACCCATCTAGTTCCATTCGACCCATACCTTCCATTCGTCCCATCCGGTTGCATTCGACCCATCCGGTTGCATTCGACCCATCTTGTTCTATTCAACCCATCTGGTTCCATTCAACCCATCCGGTTCCATTCGACCCATACCTTCCATTCGACCCATCCGGTTGCATTCGACCCATCTTGTTCTATTCAACCCATCCGGTTCCATTCAACCCATCTGGTTCCATTGGACCCATACCTTCCATTCGACCCATCCGGTTGCATTCGACCCATCTTGTTCTATTCAACCCATCCGGTTCCATTCGACCCATACCTTCCATTCGTCCCATCCGGTTGCATTCGACCCATCCGGTTGCATTCGACCCATCTTGTTCTATTCAACCCATCTGGTTCCATTCAACCCATCCGGTTCCATTCGACCCATACCTTCCATTCGACCCATCTGGTTCCATTCGACCCATACCTTCCATTCGACCCATCTGGTTCCATTCGACCCATATAGTTTCATTCGACCCATCTAGTTCCATTCAACCCATCCCGTCCATTCGACCCATCCGGTTCCATTCGACCCATCCGGTTCCATTCGACACCTCCAGTCCATTCTAAATCAACCGGATTTGGCGACGAGCGAGCGAGCGACGAGCTGAACTCGTGAGGGTGTCCGTGGTGCCGCCCGCAGAGAAGCCGCGCCTGGACAACATGCACGTGACCAAATCGACCCATCCGGTTCCATTCGACCCATCTGGTTCCATTCAACCCATCTGGTTCCATTCGACCCATCTGGTTCCATTCAACCCATCTGGTTCCATTCGACCCATCTGGTTCCATTCAACCCATCTGGTTCCATTCGACCCATCTGGTTCCATTCAACCCATCTGGTTCCATTCGACCCATCTGGTTCCATTCAACCCATCTGGTTCCATTCGACCCATCTAGTTCCATTCGACCCATCTGGTTCCATTCGACCCATCTGGTTGCATTCGACCCATCTGGTTCCATTCGACCCATCTAGTTCCATTCGACCCATCTAGTTCCATTCTACCCATCTGGTTCCATTCGACCCATCCGGTCCATTCGCAAACAACCGGAATTGGTGACGAACGAGCGACGAGCTGAACTCGCGAGCGTGTCCGTGGTGCCGCCCGCAGAGAAGCCGCGCCTGGACAACATGCACGTGACGGCCGCCCTCATGACGCCGCTGGCGCCCTCGCACTCGCACCCTCACCTCCTGTACCTCTCCGAAGCCTACGGCGTCGCTCCGGGCTCCAAGCCGCACGTGGCGCAGTTCAACTCGCTCAAGCGCCTCGGTGGGTCTCCCACGCCGGGGGCGCGCTCACCAGTGGAATAAGTATAACCCGTAAAAACAAAGTTTTTCACTATAAATCCTTTATATGCGTGGCGGCTAGAGTCCTCTCGTCCTCTGGCTTGAGATGGCTGCCACCTATGGGTCAGATGATTGCATTGCACCATTAAGCAATTGGTAATTAAATATAATATTTTTGTCCTAAAAAGTGTAAAATTTTGGAGAAAAAAATTTCACGAACATTAATTGTCACGCACAACGAGTCTGTGTGCAAAATGTCAGCTCGATTGGATCACGGGAAGTGGGTTAAAAAACGACCGAAAGATTTGCACGGTCCTAAGCAAGCAAGCAAGTGAACTTAATATAAAGGATTTAAAAAGACACAGCCGTGCCGTACCGTGCCGTACAGGCCTCCAGCGTGCGTTGCTGGTACGGGGCAGGCAACATGGTATTCATATCAGTTGAACACGCCAGGCTTTGCGCCACCAATATTATTATCTGTGATAATATTCTCAGATTAATATAATCTCGATTTAAAGCTTTCGTGACTGCAGGGATTCATCTTCTTGGTTCTTTCGGTAAAGTCACGCAGAAGGGAAATAATAAAATAATACTAATAAAAAAACATAATAAAATAATAGAATATAGTAATATAAATATAATTATTTTATTATGTTTTATTTTAATTATTTTATTATTTCCCTTCTACGTGACTTTACCGAAAGAACCAAGAAGATTAATATAATCTATTGGAATTTACATGACTACATTAACCCCCCCTCCCCCTCTTCCTCTGTTCTTCGCACCTGGTAGGCTTCCAGTGATGGCATCACCTTTTCTCGATTTAATACCGTAACAGGAAGACTTCTTCACACTTGTGGCGCTGGTTATAATCTCCGGCGAAACGTCGTACTCAAGTTTGAGATGTGGGTTTAGTCTCCCAACACAGCAGTGTGCTGGAAGCAGTAACTAATTGACATGTTTTGTTTACGTGACAAACCTCACGAATTGTCTGCGTCGAGTGGTGATGGTTTAACGACACGTTTATATCAACGTGATCTAACCCCAAAAAACCCTTCATTGTGATACTTACTTACCAGTCAGGTGCACGCATGGCATCGGCACGTGTCGGGCACCAGCAGACGATGAGTGGTTGCAAGCAGGCACGGTAGGCATCATGCCATGTGGTGCCAGCAGACAGACACGGGGTAACTAACACGTGACACCAGCAAACGCGTGTGGCACCAGCGGACAGCTATCACCATGCCGTGTGGTGCCAGCAGACAGACACAGGGATACTAACACGTGACACCAGTAAACACGTGTGGCACCAGCGGACAGCTATCACCATGCCATGTGGTGCCAGCAGACAGACACGGATACACTAACACGTGACACCAGTAAACGCGTGTGGCACCAGCGGACAGCTATCACCATGCCGTGTGGTGCCAGCAGACAGACACGTGTACACTAACACTTGACACCAGTAAACGCGTGTGGCACCAGCGGACAGCTATCACCATGCCATGTGGTGCCAGCAGACAGACACGTGTACACTAACACGTGACACCAGTAAACGCGTGTGGCACCAGCGAACAGCTATCACCATGCCACGTGGTGCCAGCAGACAGACACGGAGACACTAACACGTGACACCAGTAAACGCGTGTGGCACCAGCGGACAGCTATCACCATGCCATGCGGTGCCCAGCAGGCAGGCAGACACACACACGTGGGTCTTTAACGTGCGGGTAAGACTGGCAGATTCACCCGGGACACCAGCTGGCAGCCTCCCTCGGCCCAAGATGACGACAACCGGGCCAGGTGGTGACGACCCGAAGCGGAGTTCTGAAGATTACATTTAAAAAGCTCCCTTCGCACCCTTGCGCGGCCAACTGCGGTTATTATTAATAATGATGATGGTGGTATATTCTATGGGTCTTTCGGTAAAGCCACGTAGACAGAAAAAAAAAATCATGACGTTTCGATCGCAACACAAGCAACCGGTGACGAATGCTTGTGTTGCGATCGAAACGTCGCGGTATTTTTAAAAATAAATTTTCTGTCTACGTGGCTTTACCGAAAGACCCATAGAATATGTATTCCTGCAGTCACGAAAGCTTTAAGTCAAGATTTAATGATGATGATGCTGATGACAATTGAAGCACCCTGTTATTTTCGGATGGGCAGAAAGAAAATAAATGTATGAATGCGTTATTATTAATATTCATTAATGGTATTAATAATAATGATACATATTAATTAATAATATCAATAAGAATCATACAAATGATATTAAAAGTCTTCCTCAGCAGCAACCCACGCTTTCCCACCTGATGACGGACGCTTGTGTTGCGCCCGAAACGTCGTGATTTATTTTATTTTATACCTACGTGAACCAAAGAGTATCATGCATATTAATTGATGAATTATACCAATAAAGCATAAAATATTAATTAATTATATTATTAATAGCAACCATACATATTAATTAATAATCACACCTTTTTATATATATATGTTTTTCCTCTTTGAAAATAGAAGGGCGCTTTAATTTCCATCGTTGCAACAACAAAACCCCCTCCCACACACACACACAGCCACGGCAACTCCGATGATTTGTGTGGTTCGTGCAAAGAAAAAATGGCGGCGGTCAGAAGATTTCGGAAGCAGTTGGGTGGGCAGGGGGGCAGCAGGGGAGGGGGGCAGCAGTGGGGGGGGGGCAGCAGGCGGGGGGGCAGCAGGGGAGGGGCAGCAGGGGGGGGCAGGGGGGGGGCAGGGGAGGGTTCACGGACCTCATCGTCGACCGGAGTGTCGCCAACAGTCATCGCCACTGACTGCAATCGTGACGAACCAGAGCCGTCATCGTCTAGAATGATCCATCCCTCCTCACTCGCGTGTCCCTACCTCACAACGTCGTCGTCTTCTTTGACTCCCTCACCTCCTCCTCTTCCTCCATCTCAAATCCTCCTCTTCTTCTGAAGCTCCGCCTCCACACGCTCGCACTATTTCCTTCTTCTCGAAGCCTCCTCTTCAACCCAATTGTCGTGAATCCCTCCTCCTCCGCCATGCTTCTGAACCTCGTGCGCATTCTCCTTCGCTGCATTGCTATTCAACTCCCACACCTCCTCCACTACCACCTCCTCTACCACCTTCCACTACCACCTCTACCACCTCCACTACCACCTCCACTACCTCCTCTACCACCTCCACTACCTCCTCCACTACCTCCTCTACCACCTGCTCTACCACCTCCACTACCTCCTCTACCACCTCCTCTACCACCTCGACAACCTCCCTCACCACCCGCGTCTCACCACTTCTAATTCAACTCCTCCACCTCCTCCACTGCGCTCTCTCAACCTCACCCCCCCCCCGCCGCCCCGCCCCCCCCCGCAGCCGAGAAGGAGATGAGCGACTACTACTCGCGCAAGCGGCACCTGGCCGAGCTGGCGAGCGGCACGCTGCCCCTTCATCTCGCCCTCACTCCGCCGCTGCCCGGCTCCGCGCCCTCCTCCGGCGGCGGCGGCGGCATCGGCGGCGTCGTCGTCGTGGGCCCCGCGGCGGGGACGGTGTCCTCGCTGTCCCACCGGCCCAGCCCCGAGCCCGGGACGCGCTCCGTGGCCGACGAGTGGGCGCGAGTCTGGAAGCGCAACGCGGCCGCGGCGGCGGCGGCGTCTTCGGCGGCGGCGCTGGCGGAGCGCGACGCGAGGGGCGAGCGCCACCGCTGCTTCCGCGCCTACGGATCGACGCCGGTGCTCGACGAGTCGGCGTACGGCGGCGGCGGCGGCGAGGTGACGCTCTCCGTGTCGGCGGCCCTCGTTGACTCCGACGAGGGCGAGCGCGGCGTGGTGATGGTGGTGGGCGGCGGCGGCGGTGGGATGGGGGGAGCGTTGCAGGCACCGTCCGTCGCATCGAGCGTCTCGACGGGCGCGACGCCGCAGTCGTTCCGGCACCGGCACCACCAGCAGCATACGTGGAGGAGCGGCTCCGAGAAGGTTCGCGTGCGTACGTGTGCGTGTTGTGTCGGCTCAGCCTGAAATGAGTAACTTGCGCGGTATGTAGTAAACATCGCCACGAGGGAGACAAAGGCGGCCGGGCGTGGTGCTGGCCACCCAAACCCTCGTGTGCCCTGTCAGCCTTCATAGGTGCTCGCGAACAGCACTTGCCCCAACAACCTTTGAAGGAAATTTCGATTTAAAGCTTTCGTGACTGCAGGGATTCATATTCTTCATTCTTTCAGTAAAGTCACATAGAAGGGCAATAATAAAGTAATAAAATATAAAATAATAAAAATTCTCACGACGTTTCGACTGCAACACAAGCAATCATCATCAGGTGTGAAATCCACAGCAAGAAAATGTTAACATTTTGTTTAGTCTGTTGGCTACGTGCGGTGCCAAAGAGGTTCAACCAGTGCCGGATGAAGCTAGTGCGGGGCCTGTAGCATTTGTTATAAAGGGGCCCTAAATAAAAAAAAAAACATAAATATTAAAACACAATTGTTTTACTTGCACATTAAAATAATTGTATTTTTCATTTGCTATACAGCCAGATAATACGACAAATCGCTAACCTTAAACACCCGGTCGTTCATAAAAGTTGAAGGCAGTATAGTACTATAGTAATAGAGCAAGTGCAGAATCACTGGACCCGAATTGATAGCTTGAAAGCATTTAACGCCGGGCCCTTGAAAGTGCGGGGCCTGTAGCATGTGTAGCTAGTTTTGCTACTGGGATAATTCGGCACTGGGTTGAACACTGATGCATCAAAGCCACCAACGGCGCTCCGGTGCCAGAACTGGTGACAGAATTGGCCCTTTTCTCTCTTGATCTTTTCCCCGCAAAAAGCTTTGATCGTGGTCGAGCCCAATCTGACCGATGCCTCACGATGACGACTCCTGCTCATTATCAACGATTGACGTGATACAGTGTGGTGACGCTTAAGATGGGGGGGGGGTGACCCCCGGGGGGAGAGCGGTGACCTCAGATCAATCGCCGTCACAAACGAACTCTCTTGAACTCCCACCGAGTTCGGTCGAATCAACTTGAGCCTCACAAACCACTTCGGCACGTGACTCCCCCCCCCCGTCCTCCCCCCCCCGTCCCAGGACCGCTCGGGGGTGTTCGGCTCCACTCCGTCGCTGACCCGCGAGTCGCGCACCCTCTCGCAGCGGCTGCCCAACTTCCCGAGCGACGAGGCGCCGAGCCGCTACCACTCGGCGCGCCGCCTGCACCACGTCTCCGCGCGGCACGCGCCGCACGAGCGCCCCACCGCCGCCGCGCACTACGCCGGCGGCTCCCTGCTGGGGGCGCCGGGCTGCGGCGGGGGCGGCAGCGACCGCGAGCGTCGCGCCGGCCGCATGTCCCTCCGCTACCCTGGCGAGACCTACGGCTCCACGCCGGCGCTCGACCGCGGGCGGTTTCCCCCGCGGTCGGCCAGCGGCGGCGGCGGCAGCAACGGCGGCGGATTCTCATTCGGGACGCTCGGCCGGTCTGCGTCGTCGGCCCTGCACCATCAGCAGATGGCTGACGACGACCCGATGGCCCCGGCGTCTTCGTCGCACCACAGCGACCAGCCGACGGGCGACTCGTCGGACGACCACGACGGCCCCGTGGCGCAGCACGGGAAACACCGGGCCCAGCCGCCCCCGCCGCCGCCGCACCACCATCACCAGCAGCAGCAACAGCAGCAGCAGCAGCAGCAGTCGACATCGGCGGCGTCGTCGTCGCAATCCAAGTCGGGCAAACAGCGGCGCGGTTTCCTGGCGCGGCTCTCGTTGGACGAGGAGGCAGAGTCCGAGCCGGGCTCGTCGGGGGCCGGGCCGCCGCCACCGCCGCTCCCGCCGCGTTTGCCGGCGCGCTCCGGTTCAGGCTCGGGCCGGCCGGGCGGCACCATGACGCCGGACCGCGTGATGGCGCGGGCGCGCAGGGCCGAGGCTCACCTGGGGTCCACGCCGTCGCTGCACAAGGGCTGGGCCGAGCGAGGCGGCGGTGGCGGCGAACGAGGCGAACGCGGCGGCGGCGGGTTCGAGCGAGCGGGCGGCGCCGGTGGGGGTGCCAGCACCACGGGGCGCGTGATGAGGATGCAGAGCGTGCGGGAGGTCGCGCGCGGTGACAACTACCGCACGTGGAGCCTCTCGAACACGGCGGCCAAGCGGCAGGCGTTTGCCGGTCGCCGGCACATGACGCTGGAACACCTCAACTACGTCGGCCCGCACGCCGCCGTGACACCCTCCTCGTCACAGCTGCAGCAGCTGCAGCAGCAGCAGCAGCAGCATCATCATCAGCACCAGCAGCAACAGCAAGCAGCCGCAGCAGCATCAGACGATGTATGGGTTGAGCAATGAGGTTACAGTGTGACAATGACGATGGTTGTTGTGGTGGTTGTGTTGACGGAGTACGATTGCAGGGTGGGGGTTGGGGGTGGGGAATTTTTGAACACGCAATTTTACACTCCACAGGCATGGAAATGTCAAGTGGAGAAAATGAAACGAGAGAGAGAGTGAAAGAGCCATGCGGAAATCAACAACAACAACAACTTGGAGCATGAACTATGCCAATTTGGGTAACTGTGTCAGGCTTTTCGATGTTTACCTGTGACGTGTGCGCGTCCGCGCGTGTGGTTTTAGGGTGCGCGACAAGGATTGATCACGTGGTGCGAGAAAGCCCCCCTCTCTGTACCAACGAGGAGCCCTAGTCCCCGCACAGGCCATCATCAATGTTGATGCCCCCGAGTAGAGCCCGAGTCAAGGTTCCCCGGCCGGCGATCTGACCGCTAAACCCAATTCTAAGGTGACCTTGGGGGACGATACTCATGAACGTCGAGCTGGCCACACAGAAGCAGTATCTTACTGTCACCCCCCCCCCTCTCCCACTACAAGAGAGAAAATACCTGCCTGGGCAATTTGGATTACCGTCTAACTCCACCCCCCCCCCCCCCCCCGACTCCACTATCACTGTCATGATTTTACGGGCGCCACGGCGGCTAGGAGATGTTAACTACCTCGCCTGGTATACAGGAGGTTGTGGGTTCGATCCCGACGCTGTATATTCGGAGTTTGCGTGTCACTCTCCCCGTGGTCGCGTGGAGTTGTTTTTATCCTTCCACGTTTACAATCAACACCCACTGCGTTCAGAGTTTTCGGGCTGCTGGAAATGTCCACGCGATGGGGCCCACTCCGTTGAGCTGTCATCTGTGTGGCCAGGTCACTTCTGAAAAAGAGCCACACATTGCTCACTGGTAACAAAAAGAAACACGCACACACACACACAAGTGTATCGTTTTAGTTTAGTTTAAATACGATGACGGTTGTGGAGAGGATGGAATAGTTCCCGTACCTCGGCAGGGTGCTCATCGGCCATCTCCCCGGGCTTTGGTGGCAGAGGTCTCACTTTCACGTCGGTCAAGCGGCATTGTCGTTCTCATCGGCTGCGTCAACGCTGCGTTGGAAATTGTCCCGCCCGTTTGCCCCACGCGAGTTTCCCCCGGTCTTGTGGACCACAGGCATGCCCCCTCCTTGCTCTATGCTCGCAATATGTGGAGCTCCGTTACAGGAAGACTTAGCAATGCAAACCAGTTTAGAATGTAGGGTAGACACATTCACCTGTATACAACGGCATCTCTCCAGATGCTGCACTGGGGTTTCACATTTCAGGCTGACCCTCCCTGCCTACGATCCATCCTGGGTTTAACCAGACTTGGATTGTGCGAGGAGCTAACGGATCCTTGAAAGATCTGGACACAGACCCAGTGGTGAACTCCTCCGGCGGGCGAGGCTGCGTTGGCTGGGTCGTGTAGCCCGCATGCCCAGCCACCGCATGCCCAAGTAGCTGCTGTTTGGCCGCATAGATGAGGCTAGACGGGCGCGGCACGGGCTAGAGACGAGATGTGGTAGGAGAGGATTTGGAGCTGAGTGGACTTGCCGATGACTGGTGCCAGCGGTGTCAGGATCGGCCTCTGTGCAGGAGGCTCATGAAGGACGCTACTGGGCAGTTGGAGGCATGATCCCCACTACAACGAGCAGAGAGAGCCGGGGTGATTAAAACGCAGCGTGTTGGGACAGTTAGTTAATCTGCGAGTGGCCTCAACAAGTTCACTCATCACATATGTGTCTAGCGTACAACCTCCTGCCAGCGAGCCTTCGCGACTTCACACAAAGTGCACCTAGCCTGGCAATGAGGCTACAGCGATATCACACAACTTGGTCGTGATGTGTGTGTGTGCGTGTGCTGTATACACACAGTAATCATCCAATGAATGTGTGTACGTGTGTGTGTGTGGGTTGATACATACAGCAACATTGGTGGTGACAATGCACTACGATCCTAGTTTGATTTCCAGATAGCATTCACAACAGCTGCATGAATTTGAATGCGGTGTGCATGTGTATATTGCATATTGGCGTGTGTGTTGGTGTATGCTGCGTGTGTGATGTTTGCTGTGTGTGTGTGCTGCGTGTGTGATGCTTGCTGTGTGTATGCTGCGTGTGTGATGTTTGCTGTGTGTGTATGCTGCGTGTGTGATGTTTGCTGTGTGTGTGTGCTGCGTGTGTGATATTTGCTGTGTATTCTACGTGTGTGATGTTTGCTGTGTGTGTGTGCTGCGTGTGGCGTGCGTGTGTGTGATGTTTTCTATGTGTGTATGCTACGTGTGTGATGTTTGCTGTGTGTGTGTGCTGCGTGTGTGATGTTTGCTGTGTGTATGCTGCGTGTGGCGTGCGTGTGTGTGATGTTTTCTATGTGTGTATGCTGCGTGTGGCGTGTGATGTATGGTGTGTGTGTGTTCTTTGTGGCAGTGTGTATGTGTGTGATGTTTGCTGTGTGTGTATGCTTTGTGGCAGTGCGTGTGTGTGTAATGCCTGGCGTGGGCTTTCCACACATGTCTCTGGGTGTTTTTCACATCCAGACTTTTCCGTCAACTCACAAACAAGAGGATGTCTGGCGCACGCAACGTGACCGTTGACCTTTCCCTCAATGGAGTTTTATTCTCCTTAGAATTCGGCACAATATATCATCATGACATTTGGGAAATGTCCTCTGCTGGTAACTTTCAACCAAACATTATTAACCCTTTCTTAGCCATTGCTCTCCCTACCATGACCCTCTCGAGCTCCCCCCTCTAGCGAAGGAGCCTTCTGCAAGCAGTTGGCGTGAGCGAGCAATTGCAGGGCTGAACCTGCTTAGCTTTAACCAATTCATTTCAAAATGAGGCCCACGAAACGTTTGATCACCCCCCCCCCCCCTCTACGAACCCCACGTGCAACTGAAAGTCACGTGACCACGCTGTGGAAAAGCAGGTGCCGTATTCTGAACACACAAACTCACAAAGGACACACGCACGCACAACACACATCGCGGCCCTAATGTTTAATCGCATCTGCGACGATTATAAAGGACGTCAGATTATTGTTATAATTTTTAAAGGACAACTTCAGATGTTATTTCGGATTTTCGGGTCATTTTGCGATGACAGAACCGCGCCTTCGTGCTAACGAACGAGGCGTCGCCCGGAAGTGACGTCGCGTCACTTGACGTCATAGTTTCGGACCAATCTGAAACAAAATAAATCTGAAATGTCCGATCGCGGATACATTTTGGGGTTAATTCTAGAATCGGAAACATCCATCCTGAGTGTATACTGCTACTACACAGTACACTTTTGCATGTAATAATACATTCAGAAAGGCCTGTTTGGTGAATTCAAATCGCCGTTAAATGTCTTTGTTCTTTCGGTGCGCGGGAGTTCAACAAGCTTCAAGGCACGGCACATGCAGAAATTGGCTGCCTCACACTTCAATTGCTTTCGCCAGACATGTTTCAGCCGATGTTCAACACAGCAACAGGTTCAGCTTTCATCAGGGCACAATACTAGACATTCGCGTTGATCTCACACACTGCCTATGAAGGCATCCGTAGTCAATCACAGTGACCTAACATTGCCTATAGAGGGATCAGTAGTCAATCACAGTGACCTAACATTGCCTATAGAGGCATTGGTAGCAAATCACGTAGGTCTCACACACTGGTTATGGAGGCTTCAATAGCCAATCAGTGACCTAACTGCCTATAGAGGCATCAGTAACCAATTACAGTGATCTAATACTGCCTATAGAGGCATAAATAGCCAATCAGTAGGTCTCACACACAGGCGATGGAGGCTTCAATAGCCAATCACAGTGACCTAACTGCCTATAGAGGCATCAGTAGCCAATTACAGTGATCTAATAGTGCCTATAGAGGCATTGGTAGCCAATAATGTAGGTCTCACACACTGGTTATGGAGGCTTCAATAGCCAATCACAGTGACCTAACACTGCCTATAGAGGCATCATTAGCCAATTACAGTGACCTAACACTGTCTATAGAGGCATCAGTAGCCAATTACAGTGATCTAACACTGCCTATAGAGGCATAAATAGCCAATCAGTAGGTCTCACACACAGGCTATGGAGGCTTCAATAGCCAATCACAGTGACCTAACTGCCTATAGAGGCATCAGTAGCCAATCACACGCTGGCTATGCACGCATCAGTAGCCAATTACAGCGATGTAACACTGCCTATAGAGAAGACTGTGCTATCGACGTCACGAGATGACGCATCCATTCGTGTTGGCCCACAGAAGTGAGTAACACAGAACTACCTCTGAGAGCCCTTCAAGTGACCTCTGGATCACGTGGTAGAGAACAGCACTTTCTCACACGCTCTGCCTATGAGAGCAATATGTTTCGCATGACAGTCAAACAGATACTTGCGTTTGTATGTTGAGGTGCGAGGGATGGACAACAACAGAGCTGGAACCTAGAGCCAATTTCTGTGCAGAACCGAATTTTTATTTCGCAATTATTCCATGCACTCAGTGGTGACCGGGCTAAGACCATCAAACTCGCGACACTTGATGCGCCGGTTTCATCAAAGGCAGCGGCTGAAAACTGGATTCGAACCTGGGTTCTCAGCCATGCTGGATAAACGTTTATGACCTTTGAGCTACCCGGCCACCTCCGTGCTTTTAGGGGGAGAGCGGGGGGACCGCCAACATATTCGTCAATAACACCGTGGCCTTTAAAGGGAAATAGTATAGTGGACGACGTTTCGGGCAAGGGCCCTTTATTCACGGCACATAAGTAGAGAGGGCCTGAGAGGTAGGAGATATCGCAGTTCGAGAGCAGGAAAGGAGACAGCCGCGGGGAACAGAGACAGAAATAATCTCCATAATAAGTTTTTTTTGGGTTAGATCGCGTAAATATATAAATGTGTCGTTATGCCCGCCACCACCCGACACAGCCAATTAGTAAGGTTTGTCACGTAAACAGAACATGCTAATTCGTTACTAGTTCAGCACCACCGGTATGTTGGAGAGTAAAGCCACAACATTTACAATCTGATTTACAAAATATTTACAAAATATTGGTTGCGAAAGCCTACGAGATGAAGGAACAATCTCACCTCTTCGGAAGCCCCGGGGTCTGATGGGAGCGGTCTTCGTCCAGCTGAGGAGTTGTCTTCGAAATTAAATAAAAATCATCAACTGGTGCTGCTGCTGCGTTGGCAGTGGTGCACAAGCACACATCCACAAACAAAAAAAACTCTACACATTCGTCCAATGACACCGCTGTGTGTGTGGCCTTAAAAGGGAAAGTATATACTAGGTGACTTTTCGGGCAGTGGCCCTCATTCATAGCACAAACAAAACTTTGATTGTTTAAATAAAATAAAATGTGTCCACCCTGAACATGTCGCATATCCACGCCGTAAAAGAGCACACGTGTTGACAGTGTCACACGGGGTGGTGCTGCTCATCTCCGCTGATGATCCACAGCCATTCCACATTCCTATTGCCGGGGCCTATTTGACCAAAAGGGAACAGACCATTCCGAATCGGTGCGTTTGATATCATTGAGTCAACACACTTCTT